CTTCTCATTTATGGCATATGACCACTTTCAGGCCATGAAAATCCTTCTTCTCTTATTTTATTTATGCATATATATATATATATACATATATATATACATATATATGTATATATATATATGTAAATAGAGTGCCTGAAGAACTATGGACAGAGGTTCATAACATTATACAGGAGGCAATGGCCATAACTATCCCCAAGAAAAGAAGTGCAAGAAGGCAAAGCGGTTGTCTAAGAAGGCCTTATAAATAGCTGAGGAAAGAAGACAAGCAAAAAGCAAGAGAGAAAGATATATCCAACCAAATGTAGAGTTCCAGAGAATAGCAAGGAGAAATAAGAGAAAGCCTTCTTCAATGAACAATGCAAAGTGGAGGAAAACAATAGAATGGGAAAGACTAGAGATCTCTCAAGAAAATTGGAGGTATCAAAGGAACATTTCATGCAAGGATGGGCACAATAAAGGACAGTAAAGCCCCAACAGAAGCAGAAGACATTAAGAAGAGATGGCAAGATTACACATAAGAACTACACAAAAAAGGTCTTAATGACTTGGATAACCATGCTGGTGTGGTCACTCACCTAGGACCAGACATCCTGGAGTGTGAAGTCAAGTGAGCCTTAGGAAGCATTACTACAAACAAAGCCAGTGGAGGTGATAGAATTCCAGCTGAGCTATTTCAAATCCTAAAAAATGATGCCTATAAAGTGCTGTACTCAACATGTCAGCAAATTTGGAAAACTCAGCAGTGGCCACAGGACTGGAAAATGTCAGTTTTCATCCCAATCCAAAGAAGGGCAGTGCCAAAGAATGTTCAAACTACCAGACAATTGTTCTCATTTCACATGCTAGTGAGGTTATCCTCAAAATCCTTCAAAGTAGGCTTCAGCAGTATCTGAACCAAGAACTTCCAGATGTACAAGTTGAGTTCAGAAAAGGCAGAGGAACCAGAGATAAAATTGTCAACAGTCATTGGATCATAATGGAAGCAAGGAATTCTAGAAAAACATCCACTTCTGCTTCATTGACTACGCAAGTGCCTTTGAGTCTGTGGATCACAAAAACCATGGAAAATTCTTAAAGAGATGGGAATACTAGACCACCTTATGTGTCTCCTGAGAAACCTGTATGTGGGTCAAGAAGCAACAGTTAGAAACTTACAGGGAACAATAGACTGGATCAAAACTGGGAAGGGAGTATGTCAAGGCTGTATATTGTCACCCTGCTTATTTAATTTATATGCAGAGTACATCATGTGAAACACTGGGCTGGATGAATCACAAGCTGGAATCGAGATTGCCTGTAGAAATATCAATAACCTCAGACATGCAGATGACACCATCTTATGGCAGAAAGTGAAGAGGAACTAAGGAGCCTCTTAATGAAGGTGAAAGAAGTGAATGAAAAGCTGGCTTAAAACTCAACATTCAAAAAACTAAGATCATGAGGCATCTGGTCCCATCACTTCATGGCAAATAGAAGGGGGAAAAGTGGAAGCAGTGACAGATTTTATTTTCTGGGGCTCTATAATCACTATGGACAGTGACTGCAGCCATGAAAATAAAAGATGCTTGTTTTTTTGGAAGAAGAGCTATGACAAACCTAGACACCATATAAAAAAGGAAAGACCTCACTTTGTCAACAAAAGTCCATACAGTCAAACGTATGGTTTTTCCAGTAGTCATGTATGGATGTGAGAGTTGGACAATAAAGAAGGCTGAGCACTGAAGAATTGATGCTTTTGAATTGTGGTGCTGGAGAAGCCCCTTGGACTTCAAGGAGATCAAGCCAGTTAATCCTAGAGGAAACCAACTTTGAATATTCATTGAAAGGACTGATGCTGAAGCTGAAACTCTAATACTTTGGCCACCTGATGCAAAGAGCCAACTTGTTGGAAAAGACCCTGATGCTGGGAAAGATGCTGGGAAAGGAGAAGGGGGTGACAGAAGATGAGGTGATTAGATAGTATCACCAACTGAATGGCCATGAACTTAAGCAAACTCTGGGAGATAGTGGAAGACAAAGGAACTTGGCATGCTACAGTCCACAGTGTCGCAAAGAGTCAGACACAACTTAGCAACTGAACAACAGCAGAGTCTAGTATACTGTGGCTGACATATAGAAGGCATTTCATAAGTATTTGTTGAAAGAATGATCAAATCTTCAGCAAACACTGGGCAACCATGTGGAATCTATAATGAAAATGGAGGACTTCAGTTGGTCCTGCAGTTCCATCTTTTGACCCCAAGAGAGGCACAGAGCCTGGCTGTAGATCATTGCTTCCTAATGCCAGTGGGACCAGGGGTCAAGGACTAATGTACTCCTTCCTGGCAGGCTTTAGACAACAGACCCAGAATCTGAGTCAGTTGAGAGCAAACACGAAGATGAAACAGGAGCCAAAGGAGTGTGTGTTGCAATTGTGATAAATGCTGTGTTAGGGTTACATGGAACTAAAGAGGCATTTGATAGTGATGTTGGAGGAGGGTAGAAGTCAGGGGAAACTTTTCTGGTACTTGAGAAGATATTAATGTGGATCAACTAGGTGACAAAGAGAGGGAGACATCCTATTCTTTCCTTCTTCATTTTTCTTCTCCCTCTTCTTTCTACTCTTCCAGTCCTTGTCCTAGAATTCTGAGTGTGCCAAAGTTGTTCTAAGGGAAGCTTACGTCAGTTAGGGAAGAGGTTCTGCTGCTGAAACAAAGACCTAACAATGTGATACCTTAAATAAATTAATAGGCTTTTATTTTTCCTCATACAATAGTCTGGAAGTGCAGGATTGCACTGCCCACTCTGACATGTGGCTTCCATGTCTGCTCCAGGTGCAGGAAGGGGGAAAGAGAGGAAGTGGAGAGCAACCTGCTTCCTTTTAAAAGATGTGACCTGGGGACTCCCCTGGTGGTCCAGTGGTTAAGAATCTACCTTCCAATGCAGGAGACGTGGGTCTGATCTCTGGTTGGGGAATTAAGATCCCACAGCAAAGCCCTCGTGACACAACAAAGACCTGGTGCTGGTGCTTAGTTGCTCAGTTGTGTCGACTCTTTGCAACTCCAGGGACTGTAGCCCGCCAGGCTCCTCTGTCCACGGGGATTCTCCAGGCAAGAATACTGGAGTGGGTTGCCATGCCTTCCTCCAGAGGATCTTCCCAACCCAGGGATTGAACCCAAGTCTCCTGCATTGCAGGTGGATTCTTTACCAGCTAAGCCACAAAAGAAGCCCAAGAATACTGGAGTGGGTAGCCTATCCCTTCTCCAGTGGATCTTCCCAACCCAGAAATTGAACGAGGGTCTTCAGCATTGCAGGCGGATTCTTTACCAACTGAGCTATGAGTTTACTGTCTGAGACATCAGGGAAGCCCCAACAAAGACTTACTGCAGCCAAAAAAAAAAAAAAGAAGATGTGATCTGGACATTGTACATACCACTTCTTACACTCTTTCAGCCAGAAGTTAGTCATATGACCATACCTACTTGTAGGGAGGCTGCAAGATGCAGCCTCTGGTAGCATAAAGAAGGGCTAATGCAGAACAGTTGCCAGTATCTACTGCAGAGAACGAGATCATTAACCCAGAGAAATCAATTCACTTCTTCAATGCCTCTTAGCACTTGCTTGTGTGTTGACAGAAGTTTTATGGGCCAGAGCAGGGAACCCGGCTCTGGATGAGGGTAGTTCATCTAAATTAACCCTAACATTGTGTTCACACTCATCTAGATAGATAAGGGAGGCAGAGGGGATTTCTTTGGATCAATGGGCCAAGTGGACAGAACAGGATGTGTATCTTCCCAAGGCCATTCAGCAGGTCAACAGTCTCCTAACTCCCTCCTCCAAGCTCCAACCCCACGACCTTCCCCACACAGCTCAAGGCCAGGTCACTGAGCTCCAGGGACCTTCCTCATCCACTCACCTTGGGTGAAGATCAGGGAAATCCAATTGCTAATCCATTTAACACCAAGCACTGGGAGTTCTTCTAAGTACTTTACACACATGACATTAAGGCGCTAAAAAAAATACGTTAAACAATTTGCCTAGGGCCACAAATTTGGGACCTAGGACTTCCTTTGTGGCTTAGCTGGTAAAGAATCTGCCTGCAGTGTGGGAAACCTGGGTTCGATCCCTGGGTTGGGAAGATCCTCTGGAGAAGGGAAAGGCTACCTGTTCCAACATTCTGGCCTGAAGAATTCTATGGACTATATAGTCCATGGGATCACAAAGAGTCGGATACAACTGAGCAACTTTAACTCACAAATTTAGGGCATGGTAAACCTGAGATGTGAACCCAGGTGGTCAAGCTCCAGAATCCATGATTTTAATCTGCTACATGAGAGCACACCTGCTGCAGAGAGGATGCGACCACCCCCATCCCCATGACCTGAGGTCAGAAAGAAGCCAACCTCAGATTCAGAGTGAACAAACATTTGTTGAACGTCTAAATGTGCAGGGAAACTTTCACTCTGCCACTCGTGGCATTTCTGAAGCAACAGACACGTAAGCCTTCCCCACTCCCGTCTCTGCCCCTGCCCACCTGTTTCTCAGCTTCTCCCACACCAGAGCCTTGCTAGAACATCTCTGCCTCAGCCTGCTCTCTACCCATCCTCTGACCACCTTTCTCCTCCTTCTCTAAGCCTAGGATGCTTCAGCCAAGACTGGTCAACTGGTCACCCAGCTTTGTTCCGCTGGGCTGGGAGGAGGGTCAGCATAGACAAGAGACATGGCCTGAACTACTGTGAGAAGGCAGGCTCTCTGGCCTCAGCCCGTAGGGAGGGTCTGGCTGCTGAAACCCCATTAGCCCAGACATGCAGGCTCAGGAGTAGGCAGTCAGGGAACACGAGAGTGGTTGTTAAGTAGAAAGCACCACGCGTGTTGCCCCCATTATTCCCTTTCTGCACTGTCCCTCTGACAAGCTCTGACACAGGGGCATTAATTTTTCATGCCACTCTGCCACAGACACACAGATTTGTTTGGAGTGATGACAAACGAAATGCAAATGTGGCTGGGAGCCCAGGGCTGAGATGCGGAGACCACGGGTCACATCCTGCTCCGGCCTCACCCACCTGTCCCATGACACCTGCAGCCGCCACTTTGCATCTGCCACATCCCAGTGGCACCGAGGAGCCAAAGGTCTGGCAAGGTGAGGGCACACAACACTCTCAGTGGGTAGCAGGCAAGTTGATTAAGAAAAATTCACTCCCTCAATACGGCTTCTGACCGCATGTTTATCTTCATTTGAACCATCCTGGGTAGATGTGTTTTAATTGCAAGCCACTTCCATTCTTTTTCTGGAAGCAGGCAGGGCATAAATTATAAAATAAATAAATGATTAAGAAACATCTAATTATTGTTATTAGTTTCTTACTTGAAGGTACTTCTAAGCTGCTTCTTATTAAAGTCATTCATCAAGGAGCCACTGTGCCCTTTCTGGAGGCGCTGCTCCCAGGACCAACTCGAGGCTCGCTGCCTCCCAAAACCCGCGCTGCTTAATAAACACGGGAATATTGATGACTGTGAATTCCTCCCTCAGCCTAAACTCCAGCTTGATGGATTGATGCTTCCTAAACATGGCGACTATTTCTCCAGCCATTCATCAGCCCCACCACAAATACAGGTGTCAGCCCAAACAGACGTCAGCTTCTAACTGCCTCCTCCAGAGCAGACGAGGAGAGAAAGCCTGCATTTTCCCACACAGGGACCTCATCCATTTTTCATGTGCTGCAGTCCCTTGACTTATTAAATATTTATAACAATGTCATTATTTACCAAACAAGCTACCAGGCTGTGTCCGAGGTCCCCAGGGCTTGGCTCCTGCGTGTTCAGAGCAGGGCTCCCCCCCCTACTCCAACACCCCTTTTTCTCTGGAGAACCTTCTAGTAGAGGCCATTGGGTCTGGCAGACAGGTTTCTCTGCCTTCTTGCATGAATGCCTTTGTAGGTTCTCCCCAGGCTTGCCTGGACAGGACTGGAGGTGCGTGACCCTGCTGGAGACCGATGCGTGAGCAAGTTAAGGCGCTCTTAGTCGGGGACTCCCAACGGGCCCCCCTTGCCATTCCGCCATCCTTGCCATGCTGAATTCCCCAATCCCCTGATCCACTCCCCACGTCACTCTCTTCTGTCTGGGGCCCCCGTCCCAAGCTCTAATGCTTCCAGGTCATGGCAGATTGTGTCTCCAGCCGTGAGACAAAGAACTCATAGGCTCCACAAGGATTGACCGAGTGCCTGCAGGTGTGGGGCGCTGCCTTAGATGCCGGGGACAGTGCAGTGTGGCTGACATGCGGCTCTCTCCACAGCGCTCACCGCCTCCCCTAAGCTTCTTCTCTGCTGGAGCCCGCCCTCCCACACCTCCTCCCAACACTGGCTAGAAATGGTGGCTAGTCACTTCCTTCACTTTCCTTGTAGCTTGGCCACGGGCAGATAACCAAGACCCTGGTCAATGGATCCGAGGGGAGGGTTTCAAAACATGGTGAGGGCTGGGGGGCGGATCTGAGAAACATTCCCCTCCCTGGTCAAGACACTCTGGTAGAGAAAGGCCCCATCTTTCTCAGCTGGATGTCGTCACTGAAGGCCAAACCTAAGGACCTGCTGAGAATGGCAGAGAGAAGAGCCTTGGTCCAGGCTGAGGCACTGAGCCAGCCCTGCACTTCCCTGCTTCTGACCTTCTTATTAAGTGAGGTTTTTACCACGTCTTTCTTCCACCACTAGAATACCCCCAGGGACCTCGCTGGGAGCTCAGTGGTGAAGATTCCACCTGCCAACACAGGAGATGCGGGTGCCGCCCCTGGTCTGGGAAGATCCCACAGGCTATGGAGCAACTAAACCTGTGTGCCACGACGACTGAACCTGTGCTCTAGAGACCAGGAGCCACAACTACTGAAGCCTGCACGCCCCACAGCCTTGCTCCACAACAAGAGAAGCCACCGCAGTAAGAAGCCTGTGCACCACACCGGGAGAGGAGCCCCTGCTCACTGCACCCAGAAAAAAGCCCACACAGCAGGAAAGACCCAGTACAGCCAAAAAATTAAAAAGTTAAAAAAAAAAACAAACTTCCTTACGAAAAAGAAAAAGAATACCTCTGCAATAAAAAAATTTGTTGCAGGCAAAATCCAGTGGTGGATGCTGAAATTAGTGGGCAACAGGAGAGATGGGACAGTTGCATGATCTAACGTTACCTCCAAGACATTTATTAAGTCCATAGGGAAAAACAGCACCTTTACAGTGAAGAAACCCAGAAGATATCACCTTAACCAAATGGCCAAGGTTTTAACACCACCAGTAAAAGGACATATCAGTCACCTTCTCCCTCTGATATGTTGCTTTTGGAATATTCTTGCCAAACAATGCAAAATCTCAATCTGACCGTGAGAAAGCATGAAATGAATCCAAACTGAGACACATGCTATATAATAACTGGTTAATGCTCTTCAAAACTGTTAAGGTTGTGAAAGAGTGAAAGTGAAAGTCTCTCAGTTGCATCCAACTCTTTGCGACCCCATAGACTATACAGCCCATGGAATTCTCCAGGCCAGAATACTGGAGTGGGTAGCCTTTCCCTTCTCCAGGGGATCTTCCCAACCCAGGGATTGAACCCAGGTCTCCCACATTGCAGGTGGATTCTTTACCAGCTGAGCCACAAGGGAAGCCCAAGAATACTGGAGTGGGTAGCCTATCCCTTCTCCAGTGGATCCTCCTGACCCAGGAATAGAACTGGGGTCTCCTGCATTGCAGGTGGATTCTTTACCAACTGAGCTATCAGGGAAACCCCTTGTGAAAGAGTTGAGGTCTGTCAGTTTGGAGGAGACATGTCACTTTAACATAACATGGGGTCTGGAATTGGTTTCTGGAACAGAAAAAAAAAATACATTAGTGGAAAAACTGGTAAAATTAAGATAAAGTCTGTAGTTTAGTTGATAATATTAAACCAATATTAATTTTGAGTTTTAATAAGTATTATGGTTCCACAGTATGCTGACGTTAGGGGAAGCTAGGGAGGAATACATGGGAATCCTCTGAGCTATTTTTGCAAGTTTTATGAGTGTAAAATTAAGTTTTAAGTTTCAAAAAATCAAGCCAAGAACACTCTTCTAAATTGTGTTTCCAAAAAGTAGCAATTTCCTCACTTCTGGAATTTGCTGTAGTAAAAATTTACTCAGAGACTCCATGCACAAGAGGACTTTATACAGTGCAGGATTTCTCTTCTAGTAACTGCATTACTAAATGCAGATGTATAGGTTGATTATTAAATTTACTTATTTAATAACAGTATAGGGTATTGGAGTAATAATTAAAAAGAAAAAGACAAGTTTTGAAGTAGTGGGCCTAGGTCTGTATCCAAGAAGTACCACTTAACTGGTGTGATTTTTAGGTAAGTTATTTACTCTCTCTGCACCTCAGCATACAGGCATATAACACTGAAATAGCAGAGTCTAATGTGGTTGTACATTTTGTTCCTTAGAGCTGAAAACATACAAAATGACATAAGTAACAAAGCAAAGACAAAGACTCAGCTTTCAATTCATTTCAGAATGTGGTGAACCACATTCTGGTGGCGAAGACTCATGATAAATTAATGCCAGTGAAGAAATAAGAATATCAGAGGCTGGGATGTGCTATGAAAATACAACAGGGTAATAAAATAAAGAGTGAAAAGAATTAAAGAATTGAATATAGAGGTATTCATTAAAAAAAACAACTGCAGAGTCAGGTGATAATGACTCTGGATACGGGACTCCATCTGGGATGAGAAAGAACTTGCCACACGGCCATGCAAGGGAAGAGCATTCCTGGCAGAGGAAGCAGCCAGTGCCCAGGCCTTGTGGTCAGGACACTCATGTGGCTTCTATGCCTGCAGTGAAGGAGAGTGACATAAGACAGGGCTGGAGAAGTGGACAGATTTATTTAAGAGGCTGATGCAGAAGCTCAGTCAGGAGACTATAGTGACCTGCAGGCAGGTGTCATCAGTGGAAAGAAAGGTGGGCAGATTCAGTACATAACTGTGGGATCATCGTAGATGGTGCCTACAGCCATGAGATCAGAAGACGCTTGCTCCTTGGAAGAAAAGCTATGTCAAACCTAGACAGCATGTTAAAAAGCAGAGACATCACTTTGGCAACAAAGATCTGCATAGTCAAAGCTATGGTTTTTCCAGTAGTCATGTATGGATGTGAGAGTTGGACCATAAAGAAGACTAAGCACCAAAGAATTGATGCTTTCGAACTGTGGTGTTGGAGAAGACGCTTGAGAGTCCCTTGGACAGCAAGGAGATTGAACCAGTTAATCCTAAAGGAAATCAACTCTGGATATTCATTGGAAGGACTGATATTGAAGCTGGAGTTCCAATACTCTGGCTGCGTGATGCAAAGAGACAACTCATTGGAGAATAGCCTGATGCTAGGAAAGACTGAGGACAGGAGAAGGGGGAGACAGAGGATAAGATGGTTGGATGGCATCACTGACTCAATGAACATGAGTTTGAGCAAACTTTGGGAGATGGTGAAGGACAGGGAAGCCTGGCATGCTGCAGTCCATGGGGTCGCAAAGAGTCAGACACAACTTAGCAACTGAAAACAACAACAAGGCTTAGACAGGGCTTGCAGGTGGATTAAATGTAAAGATAGGGTCCCAGTGGAAAAGCAGAGTAAAGGATGGATCCCTGGTTTCTGGACAGATCACCTGGAGTGGATGGTGATGACATTTACTGAGCCCTAGAAGCAGATGGAAAAATGGGTCAGAAGCAATATTTAAAGAGATAATGGCTGAAAACTTTCCCAAGTCTGATTCATGAAGTACAGGATAGAAACAAACCAAAAAGTAATCCCACACCAGGCCCATCATGATGAAACTGAAGAAAAACAGAGAGGCATCTTCAAAGCATTTAGAAAATAAATACACACCTTCAAAGGAACTGACTTATCTACAGAAATAATAAAAAGCAAAAGACCATGGAAAGAAAATGAAAGAAAATAACTTCCAACACAGAATTCTATTCCCACTGAAAATATCCTTCAAAAGCAAAGGCAAAATAAAGACATTTCCAATCACATAAAAACTAAGAGAATGCATCATTAGTGTGGGCTTAAAAAAGAAACACAAAAGGAATTCTTCAGGAAGAAGGGAACTGACCACAGAAGGAACACTGAAATACAGGAAGGAAAGAGGAGTGACGGACAGTAAATATCTTGGTAAGTCTACGTGAATACTGGCTTCTAATATCAATTATGATCATGTCAGTTAGGACTTCCTTGGTGGCACAGTGGATGACAATCCACCTGCCACTGCAAGGAACACAGGTTCGATCCCTGATCTGGGAAGATCCCACGTGCCAAGGAGCAACTGAGCTAAACTGCTAAGCCTGCGCTCTAGAGTCCGGGGTGCCTCAACTACTGAACCTGCAACTAGAGAGCAGCCCCTGCCCCCTGCTACTGGAGAAAAGTCCACTCGAAAGCAACAAAGACCCAGCACAGCCAAAAATAAATGAATGCAAAAACAGGA